CATTTTATACCAGAAATTTCAGAAAAAAATGTTGGGGTTATTCTGCCCGGCGAAATTCGGGTAAAATTTCGCCGGGTAAATGCGCATCAAAATTATTTGATGCCCATGCGGTTTCCAGGAAATACTGAAGTTTATCTTCAAATCCATATATATATTGCGAAATTTCATTTGACGGCTAAGATGTGCCACACGTTGCATTGAAGTACCCAAAAAATCGTAAAACGCGAATAATTTCCGAAAACTCCATATGCCATTAACGCGCATCCGATTTCGGTGAGCACCCTAAAAAAATACATCGATCCATACCGATTTCAATGTGGTCCATTAAGAACCATGGATGTGCCAGCTCACAGTATTTTTGAGATAAATTGGGTACATCTCTCTTTCGGCTGAAGTTTTTAAAGTTCTGTTTTCGAAAAAGATCAAAATCCGTATGAGGTCATTTATTGAAGCGGAAATGATCCACAGAAAACGCAATTAAATCCGCGATATTTTCAAAAACATTTTTTGCCAAATTTCGTGTTTTTGGAAGGCCAGTTCCCGCCGTTCTAGTAGATGGATTTTCACGAAGAAGACTTTATATCACCGAAACGTAAAAAACCTTATTGATCGCGGGTACCCATATCATTCAGTTGACAGATCTAACAATTTGGCCCGAAAATTTTAGAAATTTGATCGCACAAAAATTTCACCATCGGATGAGTATTACTCTGAAGCATATCAAATTACGCAGATTCGCGACTACAATAATCTTATAATCGATTTTTAGAAATTCCTGTTTGCGTATTAAATCTAGAAGTAAAATTCAAAAAACGCTCAAAATCGAGCTTCAAAATGTCAGCATCATTTAAAGGTAGATGCAGTTAAAATTTTGAAAAATGATACATAAGGGGCGTAGTCCCAATTTTATTGACTTCTAGTTTTACATTGACACGAAGACCGTGAAATGAGTGGATTAATCACAAATCGATAGAAAACACAAAAAAACTGGTTCGCCTCAACCTGTTTTTACACATTTTTTACATTAAAGTAGACACAGCTTCCACCAAAATAAAGTTTGGAGGTCAATATCATGAACAGTTTGCAATGACCAATCAGTTAACCCAAAACTATTCACTTTTTTTCATATACTTAATTAATTCCCGAGTTATAAAGCGGTGAACCTCCGCTTCAGCTATATTAAAAAATTGGCAATATTGCCCATATATATACAATTTATACCCTTCACCACACTGTGGTACAGGGTATAATGTCTTTGTACATATGTTTGTAACAGCAAAAGGAATCGAGATAGTTCCTTTTGAGAATATGCATCGAATCACTTTCTGAGTCGATTTATACATGTCCGTCCGTCTGTGATTCTGATGAAATTTGGTACAGCTCATTTAGTTGGCCCAAGGACGAATCCTATGAAATTAGTGAAAATCGGTTCAGATTTAAATATAGATATAGCTCCAATATATAATTTCGACCGATTTGAGGTAAATGGTGCTACAAGGTCCCTGTAAATCTTTCCATTTGCACGAAGTTTGGCAAAGCGTACTATATTGAGTCTAACATTATGTATGCTAAGTTTCGAGAAAATCGTTTCTGATTTAGATATAGCTCCTATATAGATTTTCGTCCGATTTAAAGTAAATGGTGCACCAAAGTCCCTACATATCATTCGATTTGCACGCAATTTGGTACAGAGTACTGAATTATGTCTGGAATAATGTGTGCTAATTTTCGTATAGTTTCGCCCGATTTAAGGTAAATGGTGCACTAAAGTCCCTGTAAATCGTTAGATTTGGGCATAGCGTACCTCATTTAGTCTAAAGTGAGGTGTGCTAAGTTTCGTGAAACTCGGTTCAGATTTTGATATAGCTCCCATATATATTTTCGTCCGATTTTATGTGAATGGTGCTCTGAAGCCCCTGAAAATCATTCGATTTGCACAAAATTTGGCTAGCGTACTGAATTAAGTCTAGCATGATGTGTGCAAAGTTTCGTAAAGTCGGTTTAGATTTAGATATAGCTCTTATATATATTTTCGTCCGATTTTAATTTAATTGTGCACTAAAGATCCATAGTAAAGCCGACTGACACAACGTACTGAAGTTAATATAAATTAATCTCTGGGAAGTTTTCTTGAAATTGGTTCAGATATAGATATAGCATATCTTCCATATATAATTTGGACCCGTTCATGATAATTGTACACCAAGTAATCAATGAATGTTTGATGGAGATTAAATTTTAAACCGTGCAGCATTCCAAATAGCGTGAGTCAAGTTTGCTTTAAATCGATTTACAAAATTTAGCATAGGTTGCAGAAAGACATGTGTAGGGATTGATGTTAGTCGGTTTAGATATAGATAAAGATCACATATTTAAGTTTGTTCAATTGCATGTCAATGGTTCCTTCAAAAATCTGACGTCTGTTACGATACATATGTAGAATATACCCAAAGTGGTGAAGGGTATCATATAATCGGCCCAGTCCGACTTTACTACATTTCTTACTGGTTTTAATTTATTTAATACTATCTTTATACCCTTTACCACACTGTGGTAAAGGGTGTTGTGTCCTTGTGCATATGTTTGTTATAGGCAAAGGGAAACGATGAAACCACTTTCTGAGTTGATTTATGCATGTTTGATCCGATGTGGATCAAATTTGATACAAGTCACTTATTTGGCCCATGAACGAACCCTTTGAAATTGGAGAAAATCGGTTCGGATTAAGATAGAGCTCCCATTTATAGTTAGACCCGATTTTATATAAACGGTGTACCAAACTCTCAATATTTGTCCTTAATTCTGTACAGCGTACAGAATTAAGTCTGGATTGATGTCCGTGAAGTTTTGTTGAAATTGGTTTAGATCTGGACGAGACTATATATGGGAGCTATTCCCATATATAGTTCTGATGCAATATCGGCCCACTTGTTGTGTTTTTAGGAAATCAGGTAAAAAAAGTGTCAGCCAGCGTTGCCGCCAGATATATACCTTCACCCTATGGTTTGCGGAGAAGGTCTTCAGAGTTACACACAGGTTTTATTATTCGTTATATATATACTAGCGGGCCCGGCTAACGTTGTCTTGCCTAGCAATATTGTTAATGTATAATTTTCGCCATTTTAGATTTGTTTTTATAACCTACACCATAGGGCGTAGTGTAAATATCTTTGCAATATTTTGCCTTCTAAGTTTCTCGTGGATATAAGTTTATTAATATTTGAATTTGTGGGAAAAAATAAATTTAATAAATTTAAATGTACTTATAAGTTTGACTTTCGGATATAATTACATTATCCCAAAATATTCATAAGACTTCCTAATAACGGTAGCCTAATATTATGTTAGCTTTTTATACCCTCCAATATTTAAAATAGAGCTTTGAAATTTGCATACATTACTACTACTCCTATATATAACGGTACCTCGTAATATGAGGAATTTTGATTTTTTCAACAGAATTGGTTGTAATTTTATATTTTGGATTCTCATTGAGCAAAAAGTGTCCGGACAAATAATTATTAAAATTGGCCCAAGACCTTGAGCACGGCCTTCAACAGAATTGCTTCTAATTTAAATAATATAAGGGATACTTATTGAGCAAAAAATATCTCTACATAAAATTATAAATATTGACAAAAGTATCAGGGTATCCCCCTAATATCGGCATGCCTTAATAATTTATAGTCTCATGTTCAACACAAATGTAACATCATGAGACACTTTGTTATAATAAATTTGGAGAGATTTTGGTATAACATTCACATTACATATTATACCTTGGCTGTTTTTACATATTACTGTTTTCTTGTTAGTTGTTCTCTTTCCAATTCAGCTTAATGATAGATTTTTGCAAAGAATATATGTCGTATATTGGATATATGCAAAACACATATATCCGAACAATATGTTCCTATTGAACTATTATTATTATTTTCAAACATAATAATCTAGCGTATGAATCTTAAAATCAGAATTCACTGAATGTCTTCTGATTTTCCATCCTTGCATTTGCCACAAAATTTACGTGCATTCTATTGAAAACGTGTGCATGTAATGATCGCGAGTAAATTCAAAGATAATTTTTTTGTATTCTCACATAAAATAGTTTCAATACAATGTCAATCTAATTGATAAAAATAAAATATTTTGAATAATTGACAAATGTAAGCCTAAAGGAATGATACGCTACCAATTTCGCCCAAAATATCTCAAAATAACAACAACGACATGGTAAAATCAAAATAGCTCGATACTAAATTCGTGGCAATGCAAATATGCTTCATAATAATTTTTCGCGGTTTTCGATTTTTTTTCTCACCTTTTAAAACTTGCGTGGGACTCCACGAACATTTTAAGACTAATATAAGAATAATCCGTTCAGCCGTTCTCGAGTTTTAGCGAGACTAACGAACAGAAATTCATTTTTATATATAGAACTAGCTGGACCCGTGGGACTTCGCTGCCCCTACTAAAGTGATTAAAATGGGAAAGTTCACGTAGAAAACTATTTGTATGCAGTTAAAATCAGTTAAAAGCTATGATATAGATTTTATAGTAGCCAAATTCGAAGATTACTGTTCGGCTATGGATATTTCGTAGTGCAATATCAGTAATTATAACCAAAATGACTAGTATGTAGGTAGAAATGTACTAGTTGCTTTTTGCTTCAAACTAGTAACATATCTGTCCATTTTCCATATAACGAACTGTCGATTTTAACATGGGGTTGTCATATACGCCTAACTAGTTCATTTGTATACAATTAAAGTACTAGATCCTATACTAGTTAAATATATACTAGTTGTTATGTAGTACTGTAAACTACTGTTTTGGACTAGTTTTATGTGAACTAGTGCACACTCTAGTATGCTTCATGGTAGTTTTATACTACTCACATCTTTCCTAGTTGTATATCAATCCATCATTACCAGTTTCGCACTAGTTGGTTGTGTATAATTAAATACTAGTTAATTTTATCGTTTTTTATTTTAGTTTTAAAAAAGTAATATAAATTCATATTAAAAAATTAAATTAAAAATCCATATCCACATTTGATGTATGTATAAAAAATAAAAATAAAAAATAATTCACTCAAAAATTAATACCAAAATTTAATTCACATCAATATTTTCTGTTGACTCTAGCTCGATCTTTTTATTTTCAGAATTCTTTCTGAATTGCTTCTTTTTGCATAATTGCATTGCCTGGCGTAGTAGCTGTTCCACATTTTTTCCCTTAGGGATGGTAGTTTCTATGGAGTCTGGAAAATGTTTAATAAATTGTTTAATATTAAAAGTTTTACGTTAAAATATTCCACTTACCAATTAAAGCTTTGTAGAAATTTTTATATTTCCTTTAAGAGCGTTTTCCATGAGTACCGTCTACATTAAAATCCATTATGACTTTAGAATCCAGTATATTCTCTATATTTTTTCCGACACAGTTTCGCCACAGCTTGCTCATTGTAGAGACCTAAATGTGAATGATTAAATTACTATGTTATAACAATTAAGAAAATATTTACTTTAATCCTAATTCATTTTCGATATATTTCTATACAAATAATAAACACATTTTTTACTTACGTAAATATCTCGGTTGTCACAAGTGATTTTTTCCTCCATGGTTTGCAACATTTTTTCAGACGATATTGGAAAGTCATTTGTAGCGGTACTGATTGAAGTTTCTTGTTGTGACTACCTTTATTTCGGCAAATGCGGACATAATTGCCTCACTGTTTTGTTGGACAGTTTTAACTAAGTCGTTTATGGTTTCTGAAAGTCGGCAATTTTAAACCAAATTAGTACAGTAAAATTTCTAATATGTGTTGAAAATATTATTTAATTAAAAAAAAGTAGTTCAAACAGCGATAAAAGTAGTGAATCGGCGATATCCCAAGATTTGAATAAAATGTTTTTTTGTTTGGATAAGAAAACATTGAGTTTATTAAATAATATGAACGAAATATTTCAAATTTCATGATCCAATAAAATTTGTTCCGGCACTGTGTAGTATATACTCTTAATTTTTTTATGCTTTTCTTGTAAATTATCAATTTTTCTGGAAAGTTTTTTTCAATTTTTGCATGAGTTGTTTTCAGTACCTGAAATGAAAGAAAATACATACGAATTTATAATATTTATTTGCTTTCACTTAGGTGCATCTTTGAAATTTGTGAATCCATCTTTAAAAAAATTTTGTTTCATAAAATTTTTAAAGATTACACTGTAAATTATCAATTTTTCAGGGTTTTCTAATTTTACCAATTCTGTTAGTTGGAGTCCCTGGACCACGAAAATACCTTTGATTTTTCTGACTTGCTTTCACTTAGGTTCGAAAAATCCATAATTTTATAACGGTAAATATAATTAAAACGTGGTTTCATGGATTTTCCATTTGAAACTTGAATAACTTATTTACTTTATAACGGATATATATTATTCTTTTTTTATTTCTTTATTTTTATTTCTAAAATTGAGAATTTCTCTACATCACCTAAAGAAGATACATCGGCGCAGCAAATACCAATATTCATGGAATCCCTTGGCTCCTTAAAATAACTTATTATATTTGTTAATATTTTACCTATGACAATCTTTTCTTCTTCTTCTTTCCTTCTTCTTCAAAACTTTGAATTTCAATTAGAATATATGGTTTAATGCAACAGAAATTGTCTGGTTTCTTTGAAGTATAAAGACATTTATTGAAGTAGTAACAAACCCCTTTATTCTTCATAGTTCTGAAACCTTGACTTGGGATATCGATAAAATAACTTTCGTACCGAAATCATTTAAAAATCTGCTGTAGTATATTCGTGGGCTTTTTGACATACTTTCCCATTGTTTGTAAATAATTTTCGAAATCATATGCACACGAACCAGACATTAAACCAATGTCTCTAATGCTATCCACCAAATGTAGCAAAGTATGGATGTTGTAGGACAAGCTACTATCTCCGAAAACAATTGGAAAATTATGTACAAACAAATCTAACAATTGTAGCTCTTAGGACATAACAACAATCTACATGCGCAATGTAAGAGTAGAAAAACGTAGTATGTGTCGTCAGGAATTAGGTCTTTGAAAACAAAAATCCCCGTGTACAAAAGAAACTGGCGGAACTCCGTTGCCTTCCAGTTTGCTATGTCATCGAAACTTCTTGATTTCCTTACACATTCTTGTGGAACAAATGTTTTCAAAGACTACCTTTTTCGACATGCAGATCTTATCCCTTTTGCTAACTTTAACGATAGTTTTCCCTCCAATATTCGTAATATAAATTTCCGCATAATTCCCAAATCTAGTAAATGCATAGTATCTATTGACGCTTGGCTTATCATTTTAACGCAGAATATTTCTAATGGTGTTTTAGTATTTCTAAAATTAAGGAGATGGTGTTCCAAATACTTTCTATTTTTAAAATCAATCATTAAAACATTTCCAATTTTTTTGCCTACTTGGGTGCATTTGCTGCAGCCATGGAACGACGCATGGTTTGGTATACCACATATGTAAGCTTTCGCTGGTGCATCACAAACAATGGCTCGTATTTCTAAACTAAAAATATGTTCTGCAAATTGTATCCCATTTTCTGCTATGTCTTCCATTTCATTCACAAAATCTTCTAAATACGTCAAAATACATTCCGGGTTTTTAAGACCAACATAAATCCCAACTGGAAGGACGTGTACCTTTTGGGAATTAACAATTCTTATTAAAACAGGCCACAGTTGAGCTCGAGAGCTTTTAAATAAGGTCAAGCCATCAATATTTATATCAATCATTATTTTGTCTAATCCCAATAAAAATTTACCAACTTTCTGTAATTGACTTCTTATGCCTAAATGACAATACAGGCTGGGACGCACTTTCCTTATAATGGGTTTCTCAACAATTTTCGGCAATAATGTTTCTGCTTTCTTTAGTACATTTAAATTCTCTTCTCTTAAAATGCACAAAAGTTCTTCAAATGCTTTCCTGGAAATTTTGTTTCTTATGTACCACTTCCCTAACTTATCAGTAAATAACTCTTGCTGAACATTGTGGTTTCTGGTGTTAACATCACATTCCTCATCTGACAAATCTGTGGTTAAAACAGCAGGCTTATCATTTATATTTATGTTTTGTGTTTCTACATTAGAACTATTTCTTAATCTATTAATGTATACTTCACGTTGTTTTTTTTATTAACCTGGACATATTTCTTTTACTCATCTTACTTACCGTGTTGAATAGTTTTTTTTTCACAGAGAAAGCACATACACAAACCCACAGACTGAATGATCTACAAACAGTTTATCTTTGATTCATTTAAAAAAAGGGTTGCCAAAATACGTAAATATACCATTTTCCCATGAAATTTTATATTGCAAGCATTACCAAACATTAAGATTTGCCGAAAAACATAATTTGTCAACCCTGTAATCGAAGCACAAACTAACGGGAAAATGACAATGAGTGGAAGAGCGGCACTCACTGCAGCACTTTGTAAGACAAAAGTATAGTCAGTCTCTTTTCGCTTCGACTAACACGAATAACTCAACTGTCTCATGGCAACTAGTAGTATGACTGTTTCAATATTTAACTAGTTTCATTTTAGCTACAGTGAACTAGTAGTATGACTGTTTCAATACGTGACTAGTTTTTATTTTAGCTGCAGGGTCGTATCAGCTGGTTAATGTATAAGTTGTTCGATTCAATAGATTACAAATACATTTTTAAATAATCATTGATTAACAATGGTGATATTAAAAACAATTTTGGATTGACTTATAACAATAGGGCAACCCTGCAGACAGTAGCAACACGTAACGTGATGGAGAATTGTCGGGAGAAAAGGAGAGAGGAGAAACGTGTTTTCAGAAAAAAGAAGAAAGAACAAGAAAAACGTGAGCGTGAGCAAATCGAGATGTACAGGAGTCAGAATGAAGTCCGGAAATTTTACCAACGAGTAAAACACCAAACCGAAGGCTTTGGTGCAGGCACATCCTCCTGTAGAGATGAAGAAGGAAACCTGGTGACAGATACAGACAGCGTGTTGAGGATCTGGAAGGAGCATTTCGAAAAGCTACTAGTATCAAATAGTGGCGATGAAGAAGATACCCCAGAAGCAATAAGACATGATGGTATAGAGTGTATACCACCTAGCCAAGATGAGGTCATAAAAGCAATTAATCGGCTCAAGAACAACAAAGCAGCAGGAGCCGATGGGTTACCAGCCGAACTATTCAAGACTGGTGGCCAGATGCTGGTCAGGACCATGCACCAGCTGATTAACACAATTTGGCTAGATGAATGCATGCCCAATGATTGGAACCTCAGCATCCTGTGTCCCGTGCACAAAAAAGGAGACAAGACGATATGTGCCAACTATAGAGGAATAAGTCTCCTTCCCATCGCATATAAAGTGCTATCCAGTGTGCTGTATGAACGATTGAAGCTAATGGTCAATGACATCATCGGACCATACCAATGCGGCTTCAGACCTGGCAAATCCACCATTGACCAGATTTTCACTCTGCGCCAAATCCCGGAAAAGACCCACGAAAAACACATCGACACATACCACCTATTTGTCGACTATAAAGCCGCATTCGACAGCCCTATCCGTTCAGAGGTGTTTAAAGCCATGTCTGCGTTCGGCATTCCTGCAAAATTAATACGGCTATGCAGGATAACTTTAAGTGGCACAAGGTCAGCCGTTAAAGTAGGAAAGGACCTATCGGAGCCCTTCAATACCGAACGAGGATTCAGACAAGGTGACAGTTTGTCGTGTGATCTTTTTAACATCCTACTGGAAAAGGTCATACGAGACGCAAAGGTGAACAGAAATGGCACTCTGTACACCAAACAACATCAGTTACTCGCCTACGCCGATGACATCGATATAATGGGTCGAACATTGCGAGCGGTAACAGGCACCTTTGAACAAATTGAAAAGGAGTCTGACAAAGTGGGTCTGGCAGTAAACGGCGAGAAGACCAAGCTGATGGTATCAACGCGCAAGACGTCCAGTAGACTCGGACCAACTGTGGAACTTGAGAACTACAGCTTCGAGGTAGTTAAAGACTTTATATACCTTGGTACCGCCATAAATAAAACGAATAATATCAGTTTTGAAATTCGGAGAAGGATTGTGATGGCCAACAGATGCTACTATGGTCTAAGTAAGCAATTTAGAAACAAGGCCACCTCTCGCCAGACCAAACTCACACTTTACAGGGGTGTTTGAGAGAAAAATTCTCCGAAAGATCTACGGGCCGATCTGCGTCGACGGTGAATATCGGCGTCGAATGAACCACGAGCTCTACAATTTATACGCGGACATCGACATAGTCAGTCGTATTGAGCTGCAGCGACTACGCTGGCTAGGCCATGTTGTGCGGATGAATGAAGATGCCCCAGCTCAAAAGGCATATAAAAATGAGCCTACTGATGGTTCCCGTAGAAGGGGAAGGCCACGAATTAGATGGAAAGACCAAGTAGAAAACAACATCTTGGAACGTGGTCTTCCAAATTGGTGGACTTGCGCACAAGACCGACGCGCTTGGAAATCTTTTTTAACCTCGGCTTATGGAACAGATCCCTGCTGTATAATTCCTGCAAAAGAATGCATTATCACACAACAATATTTTTACCGATCCTAGATTTAGTCTTGGTCTTAACTGTACATACCTTAGTATTTTTAAGAAAACCAAGACCAAGTCCGAAGATAGAATTTGTGGCCATTGAGTTAGTCGTTTCCTCTATACATTTCGAAATAATAGTTTTTGTCATATCAGTTTGATCAAATAAACTTAATACGTAATGGACACATTTTGTTTTCAGTTCAACTATGATGATAATCCACCACAGATTTCAGATTTTTGTAACTTTTAATCCACCATCGGCATTTCGCTGCTGGATATCTCCCAATTATTGCTGAT